AAACCCGAGAGTCTGGGGGCGTGTCCGCCCACGGAAATCTGTGGGGATCCAAGGGATCCGCTAGATCGTGTCCGGGCCGCCCCTCCTTCCACTCGCACCCCCGCAGCCGGCGGGGCTGGGGGCCGGCTGGGTCCGCGGGGATCGTGTCTTCGCCCCTGGTGCGCAGGCCGGTGCGGGGCCGCGCCGCCCGCCGCCTCGCTTCCTGCGGCGGTCCTCGGGAAGGGAAGTGGACTGACGGGGGCCCGGGGAGCCGCGGCTCCTCGCCGCCCGCCGTCCTGTGAGCTGCATCTAAATGGCCGGCTTAGCCGAGCCCGGAGGGCGGGGGTCTGGGCCACGGGCGCAAGGCCGGGGCGGCGGGCGGCGCGCGGAGGGAGCGGGCTCCGCGCTCTCGCGTTCTGCAATCTGTTGCGTCTGCTCCCTAGGCTCGCCCGGGGCTCCGCGGTAAAGGGGGTGAGAGAGGGAGGGGCCGGGGTTGGTGCGCTCTGGCAGTGGGACAGCAGGGGTACGGGTAGGGGACAGAGGGTCTCTGAACAGCCCCCCAGAGTGGAAACTCCGATCCGACGGGAGGAGGCTGCAGCGGGCCTTCTGCAAGCTGGAGGCGCTCCAGGAGGCGAGGGGCGCTGACCGAGTGGGGAGGGAGAAAGCTGGGGAGGAGGAGGAGAATGGAAAAGAGAGGCCCTCTGCCCCCTCCCAACGTGAAGCCAGAAGACCTGGGACACATTTCCCCAACGGGGGTGGGGGTGGGGGGGCTTTGTTGCCCCCTGCTGAGGGGTGCACCCAGCCTGGACAGGCTGGAGAGGGACTTAGATGGAGAGACCAGTAGGCTCTCCGTTTTGATGCAAGACCCTCGATATGTCGTGCTCAGCTTTTGCCCGCATCTGCCCAGTCCTGAGGAGCCTGCCCAAGCTCCTTGAGCGCGCCCACGGCCTCTAACTAGCTGCCTCTCATCCCGACCAAGGCGCGTTCTCAAGGTTGGAAGAATAAGGAAAGGAATCGGCTCCAGGAATCTAGGGTCCTGGGGTTAGGAGGGGGTGGGGAACAGGCTGACCTCCCTCCAGGGTGGTGGATTGGTTCTTCCCGGCTGGGGGTGACCGTGGGATGAGAGCTGTTTGGAGTTCAGTTCACCAGACACAGCCAAGCTCAGTTCTTTATCAGAAGGATGGGCAGGGCAGCGGGAGGGGGTGGGGGCAGGGGGAATGCAGCTGGGAACCAGAAATCTCTGCTCGGTGTGCAAGACTGAGGGCGGGGAGGGGGTGGGGCGGTGGGCTCTGCGGGTCTGCGCGCTGGAGCTGTAGGGGCCGCGCTGGGGACCCGGCCCTGGTGAGCAGGGGGTCTGAGCGCCTAGGAGGAAACTGAGCTCAGGCCTGGGTCTAGGCATGGTTCTGCCCCACTCTGCGCCTTGTGTCTTGTCGCCTGAGTTCCCTTTCTAAAACCCAGCCGTGGCCCCACCTGGGGGCAGCTCTGACGCTCTTATTAGGTTCTCACTGCCCAGCTTCCCAACCCCTCAAGCCTGGCATTAAAGACCCCTTCTTTTTCCTCATGTGCCAGAATCCTGCCTGCTTCCTAAGATCCAGCCCCAGTAGGGCCTTCCCTCCTGGTGCTGCTTCTCTGGAGCATTAGCAATCTGCTTCATTTTCTCCTTAGATGTCCCCTGTCTTCCCTGTGCCCTGTTAGTCCTGGAGTGGTGGAGGCCAACCCGTGGGCTTATTCTCCACTGTCCCTCTGCACAACCAGTGCTTAGCCCGGTGCCAGTGCACGCAGGACCCAGGGCTGGCTGGCTGGTGAGCTGAAAGAAGCTGTTGGCAGAGGTGGGGCGGGAGTCCCCCCCACTGAGCAGGCATTTTCCCTTCCTGATTATCTGGCTCCCTTTCTGAGCTCCTTCCCTGCGTCCCCATCCCGTGCCTCAACCTCCCCTTCCTCGAGGAAGGGTGCCAGCAGATGCTCAAATCTTAGAGAAACACCCCCCAAAGATGGATAAGGCCAGAATCACAGAAGATCCACCCCCCCCAAAAAACCCATCTTCCCTGGACCTTCTTCCTTCAAGGCTGCCTGACACCCACCCACCCAAACCGTTCCTCTATCAAGAAAAGGGTACATGGACTTCATCTCACTTCAAGCTCGCTCTTGGTTGGGATCTCTGGGCTCTTCAAAGATGCTGGGGTTCGGGAGGGGGGAGTTGCAGGTTTTGGTGCCTGGCAGGCTACTGAGCCCACAGACTTCTGACCACACAGCCAGACTGAGAGCCAAATAGCCTGGGTTGCTGTCTGACTCTGGCGCCATCGAGCAGGGTGACCTTGGGCTGTCTCCCTCATGTTCCCCATCTTCCACAAGCAGTGTGGCCTCCCCTCCCTCTCCTTTCTCCCTTTCTGCCAGGACCACTGGGCAGATACCATGTGTGAACCGAGCCCCACTATCTTTCAGGGCCCAGCTCAGCCTGTGGGGTGGCAGCCCAGACTCCGCTCTTGGTCTCCAGGCTTCTGCCAGAGAACATCTGAGAAGGCCACTTTCCCGCATCTGGCCTCTGGGGAGGCTTTCTGCTCCATTTTTAGTTTGAATGGGAGTTTAGGGGGGTAGGGTGCTGGTGAAGTCTGTGGTAGAGCTGATAATGTCAGCCTCCTACTCAGTAACCTTCATTGCTGCCTATAGGATCAAGGATCCCCTCTCTTTGGCCCCCAGAATCAAAGGCCCTATATGATCTTGTCTCGTTCCGCATCTTCACCTCGGGGGCAGGCACTGCCTGCCCGGCATCCTCCATGCATCTTAGGAGGTATCACCCTACTCACCTCCCTGCCTCTCCGCTTTTGTGCCCAGCAGCTCCTCCCTCTGGAATACCAGCCTCCAGAAGTCCTTACCCACACATCGAAACCCAATTCCAACCTCTTCTCCTCCAGGGAGGCTGCCTCACTTCCCCCTTGGCTTCCCACCAGCGGCCCCCACCCTGTAACAGAGGCGAGTGCTCTTTCTAGTGCAGCCTCAGCTCTTCGTGCCACCTTCCCAGCACTCCTCCGGGGCCACAGTGTGCGTGCGTGTGCGCACGTGTGTGTGTGGGGGGGGGGGGCATGGGCATATCTATGTGTGCACCCATCCTGGTCTCCACATCCTTGCATTAGAGCAGGTGCTGCTCTAAAATTCTTCATTTTTGCCCCTTTCTCCAGCGTTTGACACATAGTAGGTGCTCAGAAGAAATGCATGGGCTGGGAAGACAGCTCTGTATGGAGAGTTGTTTCAATTGCCCAGTGACAATTGGAAAGGGAGCTCTGGGGCGTGGGGCAGAAGCCGGAACAAGGAGGGGCTAGGCAGAGACACCAGGACGAGAGCAAAGGAATGGGGCAGAGCCATACCACACCCTCTTGAGAGGCACATAAAGGGTACACATATCTAAAGTGACATGTTATAACATCACTCCAGAGGTTATGAGTGTAGTGTCCCATGGCATTCTGACTACATGACCTCAAATGCATGTGTCCTTACATGCAACCTGGCCACCTCGAGTTTCCCCGGTGGGTTGGGTCCACGCTCTCCCCACCCCACTGATGACCCAAGCTCTGGGCTCCTTTGGAGAGGCAGGAGGGACCACAGAACAGGGTCAGCACTGACCTTTGGGATGCTCCGTCACTGCTGGGAGTGAGGAGTGGTGCTCCCCCCCCCCCCCCGCAAGCATGCACACCCATCTTCATCCTGGCCACATGGAGCCCTACACCACAACGCAGCCTTGTTATGTTTAAGACCAGTAGGTGGGGATGTGTTATAAACTTGGTGGCAGAAATGAGCTTTATTAGAATCCTGAGGATAACTCAGTGCTTGGCTGGAGGAGGTAAGGCCACGTTGGAACATGAGGGGAGGACCTGGGGCATCTCCTAGACCCTTGCTGGGGGCCTGTCTGGAACTGATGGCCCCCAGGCCTGAGATGGGCAGTGAGTGCTCGTGAGGCTGCAGAAGTCAGAAATCGAGACCCTTAGAGGCACCAACTCCAACCACCAGGGTCTGCCTGACCAGCTGGCGCCGGGGGCACGGGGCGGGGCAGGGGGCTTGCACGGTGGGGATAGTGGAAGGGCTGGCTTTGCTGCCCTTACCCATGGTGATGTCCATCCACAACCTGGAACTGAAAGACCCACACAGAGCCACCACCCCCACCTTCATGCAGAGGAGGACTTGGGTGCTCAGAGAGGGAAGGGGCCTGGCCAAGGTCACCCTGCCGGTGTGTTCTGGAATCAGAACCAACACCAGAGCCTAAAGGGGGTTCCTGGATTGGGTGGTCTGCTCCGGGCCACTCTGCAGAGATCCTGCCACCTCTGCTATCCCATCTCCCAGAGGCTTTTTGTCCAAAGATACACTTCTGGCCTCAGGCCCGCCTGGAGTCCCAACCAGTCAGGATAGCCAATCACAATGGCGGTAATAGGCCTCGGCGAGCACTACAGGGGAGCTTGGAGGGGTTCCGGAACTTGATCTTCAGCTCTCTTTCATGAGCTCGAAGTCCAGTTGAGGAGACTAGGAAAAGGGCCAGATTCTGAGATTCAAGGCAGTTCGAAATCAGAGTCCCCAGGAGACAGGAAACAAGGATTCAAAACCTGACTTTGTCATCCACTCGCTGTGCAACCACAGTAAAGCCATCTCCCTCTCTGAGTTTTTTCCTCCTGTGCCAAGGAGGGAACAGTGCCCGGCACACCCCCTTCCGCGTCTCTTCTTGTGATGGACAAGCTTGCTGTTTCGTCCCTTATGTTTCTCCGCCCCATGAGGGGCCTCCCTCCACTGATGGCCCCAGCAGACGCTAACAAGGGGATCACTTTCTTTCTCCCCATTCCCTCCCCAGGGCCCTCCTTACTTCTTCTTTGCCAGTACTCAGCACAGAATTCTAATAAGAGATTAATGAACCAGTTGTGGTGCGTTGTTTGTTTTTTTTTAAGAAAATGAATTTCTTTTTCTCTTTTCCTTTTCTGTCTTTTGACATGAAAAGTGGGCCTCCTGACCATCAATTCGGCCAGCTCTGCCATACTCCAGCTGTGCCCAAGGATGGGGCAGTGTATCAGGGAGCACCAGCGCTGGGCTGGCTACTGCTGGACAAACAGCCCGCCCCGGGGAGGGAAACACCGAGCCAGGTGAGGCCAGTGCAGTAACAGAGAGGGGCAAGCCCCTCTGGGGACACAGGCGGGAGAGGCCAGAAGGCATTTTCTCCTTTCTTCTGTCGTGTTTGCCCCTTTCGGCCCCTCCTTCCCCAGCCCCCCCCCCCCCCCCCCCGCCCACACATCCACCCCTGTGGTCTGGCACACAGCCCAACAGGATGAAGTAGATGATGGAAGCGATTGCCCGGTACTCAAGGCTTGTTGCAGGAGGGAATGAATGCGAGAACAAATAACTCAGTGCAGAAAAAGGTGAAAAAGGTAATTGAATAAAATCCCTTTTGCCTAAATTGTCTAGAGGATTATCCGCCTTTGGAAAGTTCTGCTTTTTATCAACCTTGAATCCCTCGTGCATTCCTTTCCTGCATTCTCGCCCACACCTTTTTGGCTTGTGAGGATGGACAACTGGTTGCTTACTTCTCTTGAGGGACTCTTCCTTTTCTGTCCACGCTGGACACAGGGCGCAGGGTGCACGCGTGCTGGTGGGTTCTGCAGCTTGTCTCCACGTCCTAGGCCCATACCTCGGGGCCCTCAGAGCTGGGAGAGTGATATGCCCAGGGTCACCTAGATAATCGGGATGACACTCATGATAGTCGAGGTTTTCAGAGGCATCTCCACCCGAGAATCCAGGTCTGAACGGCGTCGGACCTTACAGGGCAGGCCCCCTGGCAGCCAGGACACCCTGAACCCTGAAGCCCTGCCCAGGGACACGGCCCCAGAGGTGGCCAACCCTCACACAGAATGAGCCACAGCTACACTGAGTGACAGCCTCTCTATTTTTCTGAGGGAGAAACGGAGAGAAGGGAAAATGGTTTCTGCCCCCCAGGAGTGCCCAGTACGACAAGGGAGACACAGTCTCATGCCAGAGAGGCCCCAGTCTGATGGAGGAGGCACAGCCCCAGCCCTCAGAGGTAGCCTCTGTCCTCTTGCTTGGTGACGGCCTGTCGGTGAGAGACAAGAGGGTCACCTCTGCCCAGAAGTGTAGGGCTCCACCTTGCAGGCCTCCTCCTCCACTCTCCTCCGCCCCCGGGGGCTCTTGGAGAGCATGGCTCTGGGCCAGGAGCAAGTATATTTTTGGTGGCTTGGTACAGATGATACAGCAGACTTGTCACGGCAGGAGAACAGTGTCGCTGGGAGCTCGAGGCACAGGCGCACGCTCGCAAGCACGCCCACTCAGTCATGGGCACACCCGGACACACTTGAGAGCTTGAACAGCTCCTTGGAGTTCAGATCCACCCTCTCATTGGATCTCCACAGTAGATCCCCATTTTACAGAGAGCAAAACTGAGGCTCCACAGAGTCCTCGCCACAGCAGCTCTTGAGGTCCCACGTTCTGACCCTGAATACGGAAGTCTTCTTGCCGTACCTCCCCATCTCACACATACAGGGAAGAAGCACAGACGTGGACAGACATGTGGACCCATACACCCCAGTGGGTCCCCCTCATCTCGCGCCCCTCTTCCCCCTTTGCTCTCTAGGCTTCTTTCAGTGCCTTGAATGAATGGTGCTCCTTTCCATGTCAGAGCCTCTGTACGTGCTGTGGCCTCTGACCAGAACATTTTCCCATACCTGTCTCCTACTCGGCCTTCAGGTCAGGATGTAACCACACCTCCTCTTGGAAGCCCACCCTGATTCTCAGATGGACAAAGACCCACTGCCTTCTGCAACTCATTGCCGATTTGCCCTGTGTATACCTGTACTGCATGGCCTCCCTGCTGGCCGTAGCCTGAGTGGACCTGGACGGTGTGTGGCTTCTTCCCTGCCGCTGTATTCCTGGGGTCTACTGGGATGTCTGGAATAAAATAGGCATTTAATGATTTGTCAGATGAGTCAATGAATGTACCCTTGTGCACATACTTGCACACATAGACATCTTCCCTGTCCCTCAGTGAGTATTCAGTTGGTGCTTCCTGTGGGCCAGGCACTGTTCTAGGCGCTTGTCGCGATCAGGGAGTATAGCACAAATCTCTGTATTCATGGGGCCTGTATCCTTGTGGAAGGCAGGGAGAAAGGCAGACAGCAAGTAATACATATGTTAAATAAGTGGATTATAGCATCTGTTAGAAGGCAAAAGGGGGCTGAGGAAAGTAGAAAAGATAGGGTAAGGGCACTGGGGATGCGTGTATGTGTTGGGAGGGGTTGTGCAGTTTAGAATGAATGCTCGTCTGATAGAGTGTCATTAAGCACACTTGCAGGAGGTGAGGAAGCACACTGAGTATGCGAATATTGCAGATGGCAGCCCTCGGGCAGGAGTGGGCTTAACCATTCAGATACAGCAAGGAGGCCTGAGGGGTGGAGGCCAGAGGGTCTGGACACTGCGAGAGGATGGGGGGTGGGGAATGGGTCGGGGCGAGGGAGGCTCTTGTAAGAACATTGACTTGTAGGCTCAGTGAAAGGGGGAGCCATAGCAGAGTTTAGGGCAAGGGCGACCTGAGCTGACCCACAGCTGCAGGCTTGCAGAGCTCCAGAAACTACAGGGTCAGGGACTGCCCCCCCCACACTCAGTGCCGCAGGGAGGGGACCTCTGTCTACTCCCTTTAGCCCACTGACCTTCACAATCCTGGCTGTGGCAGCCTTCTCTGCTGCTCCACCACCACCCCATGCTAGGGGGGCAGGAGCAGGGTGTGCCGGGGACCGGCTGCAGCAGAGACCATCCAAGGAGTGGCCAAGCTGATGTCCAGCCCTGCCCGGCCGAAGGAACTGTGTGGCTGTCCTGGCCTCTTCCGACGGGCTTGGACCGCTTGTCTTTAAAATGGGGCTGCAGCACTGGGTGCTTCCCCGGCCTCTTCTTGCTCAAACCCCCACTGTCGCCTCCGTGGCAGAAGCCAGACCCCGGCGCCTTCATCTCAGCTGGGACATTTGGGAGGCTGAGCTAGCCTCAGTTTGTTTCACAGATTCTGATTTTTTAACTAATTGTCTCCTTTTGCAAAAAATTCACTCCAAAGGCAAGGGGGATTATAAGCACTTGTTTGGATGGCGATCTTACACCACTCTGATTTGAGAAGGATGACAGCCAGGATGTGTGCAGGCTCTGTGTGCAGGGAAAGCAAAACCCCATTTCCCTGGATCCCTGAGTGGCCTGCAGAGACTCGGGATTACCTGTTGCTTTGACCTCTCTACCTGTCCCTGTTTTATGTCTGCAAGTGCTCGGTTGGGGGCCCCTCCTTCCACCACCAGCCCCTGCCACTGCCGGACCACTGCAGCCCACGCCTGTTAGGCCGGGAGGTGACCTGTCCCAGGGTGGGGGGGGAGGGGAGGCGGGGGCGGGTGGTGAACCACACCCTCCCCAGCCCTGTCCCTCCTGGGGAGAGCGAGGTGGTATGGGGCCTTTGTCCAATAGGAAGGAACTCTCGGATTGAAAATAGGAAAAATTACCATTTCTCAGCTGCCAACACAGCAGAGAAATGATCTCAATTTTCTGTGGCTGTTCTCGGCAGGAGAAAAACTGCCAGCCGCCTGCCCCATGCATGAGAGGTCTGAAATGCTGGAGAAGGGAGGCTGGAGCTGGGGGAGGTGGTGGAGTGAGCAGTGGGGGGACTTGCATCGTGCAGGGGGCTGGGCTCCGCACTCAGGCCCTGCAGCCCTCCTCCAGCCTAGCCCCCACTGACCACAAGCCTGTGTCAGAGCATCTGTTGAATTATCTGATTACCTCAGTCATCACTTCAGTTAACTGAGCACCTACTATGTGCCCCACCCTGTGCTGAGCACCAGGAATCTTTCCCATGGGGCCAGGAGTAGACTTTGTTCCATTTTGTTTTAGTCCTGATGCTCATAGCTCTCCTCCTCTACCCTCACTTTTTCCCTGCCCTGGACTCTAAAACCAACCGGCCTGGCTTTGTCACTGTGTGACTCTGTGCCTCAGTTTACTCATCTACAAATGATTATGAAAGTACCCAGCTTCCGGGATTGTTACGATTACATACATGAGTCCGTGTTTCATGTCAGACACTGAGGATAGTGCCTGGCACATACTAAGTGCCCCAAAATGATGGCTGTCAATGTTGTTGTTATTAATATTGCTAGTGCATGCTAGGCACTGTGTTAAATGTAAAAATGAAGAAAATACGGTGCCCGTCCCAGGAGGGGCTTCTAAGGGGGCTGCCCCAGGCAGATGAGCTGTGTCTGCACAGACTGTGATACAAGGCAGTTCATAGGTGTGTCGGGAGGGATGAAGAGGGCCATGGAGGGAGAAATCTCATAACTAGTCCAGAGATCAGGGGAGGCTTCCCAGAGGAGGTACCACTTCAGGAGGCCTTAACAAGGTTTGAGAGCTCTGCCTCCGGAGACTAATCAGTCAGCATCTACTGTGTGTCTGATACCCTGGGGGGGACAGAAACACAGGACAAAAATGGCTCTTGGCCTACAAATTCAGTCCAACAAGGGAGAACCACGGCTGCCTAGGAAGGAGTAGCAGCACAGGGGGCTAAATGCAGGGTATATGGTTGGTGATTCTTTACCTGGATGCTCTTTTGAGACCCCTCATAACTTTGACCCTATGTTCCGTTGGAGTGCTGGGGAGCTACTGAGTGTTCTGGAGTGAGGGAGTGACGTGATCAAAGCCGGGTTCTCTGCAATGACTTGGTTGGGGACAATTTGCAGATTGGAGCAATGCTGAAGGACGCTGTTGAGTGAGGACTCTGGGGATGGGAAGTGACCACTAGCTGTCATAAGAGGTACCACCATATGGCAAAGAGCCCACCCTTAGAACCAGAGAGACAGATCTGAGTGCTGACTTAGGCCGCTTGCCCATGGCCTGACTTCTTTCTACTCCTTGGTTCCCGCCTCTGTTGAGATCTGATGGCAGATGTGAGGTCCAGAGCCTGCAGTCTAAGGCTCATTGTTTGGAGCTGTCTTGATTATCCCAGCAGCTAAGGCCCAGAGAGCCAAAGGGACTCACCTAAGGCCCACAGCCATTTCTGACCCCCTGGGGGTCCATGAGTGTCAGGAGTCCTGGGGAACGTGGCCTGGTAGCAGAAGTGAGAGAGACGAGATCGCCCTCAGTTTTTTCAACAAATGCCCAGCCTCTCTCCTCGTTCCCCAGCCCAACTGGCAGCCAGAAGCCAAGGGGTCAGATCCCCACGGGTCACAGCCAGCACTTGGACCCCAGGAAAGCCTCAGAAGAAGCCATTTCAGCTCAGAGAATGGTGTAGGTTTTTCGAGTCACACAAATGTAGGTTTGAATCTCAGCCCCGCTGCAGTGCAGCTGGGTGACCCAGAAGCATTTGCCTGCCTGTCTCCCTGAGCCTTGGCTTCCCCATCTGCAGAATGGGAGTAATGGCGTCACCTCTCTGGGGCGGGGCTGCTGCAAGGGTGCAAGGCTGGAAGTGCCCAGAACAAAAGCTGTGGGCCTGCTGGAGGGCTCCGTAAACATGGTAGGCTTGGTTTGTGTCCTTCCTTTCTTGCCTGGAGCCAGGCCTCACTGCTGGGAAGCACGGTTAAGACGGTGCCAAAGACTTCCCGGAGATCACTTTTCTGGTGGTTGGGTTTTTCGGTTTTGTTTTGTTTGGGGTCTTATTTTTCTTACCCTTGATGCCTCCTAGCAACATGCTGCCTGTTTTAAACACAGCAGTGGCCAGTAGCCAGCCCCTCTCCCTCCCTCCATTCCTCTTCCCGTCCTGGGGCGGGGGAGGCATTCCTGGGTCCCACATCTGGCCCCACCGCAATGCCTGGGTCATACCGGGCTGGTGAGGCTTTGGCTTGTGGATATTTGCATTGCCTGCACGGTAGTTCTGCACCGTTGCCAAAAATAGGTCTGGGGTTATAGATGCGGAGTCCGGGGTGCTCCTGAAACACTTGCTCTGATGCATCCTGCAGCCCAAAGCCCGTGCAGATCCTGGTCCCAGAGCTGCCTCGTCTCCCTCTTGGGTCTCAGATTCTTCATCTGCAGATAGGAGGGAAAAAAGCAAACCCGTCCTGTAGGGCAGTTGGGGGCAGGGTAACCGAGGTCATTCACCCTGCTGGGGAGTCACAGTTTGGTACAGGTCACTGTAACCATTTCTTATTCATTGTGAGCCCCTAGGAGTCACGTCAAATGACCCGACCCACCCACAGAGCCCCTGTCTCCCCAGCCTCCCACCGTGTCCTTCCTCTGGGCTCTCTCCGCCAGCCACCTGCCTCAGACAGAGCCTTCCTCCTGCTGGAGGTGGGTCTCTGGGTCTCTGAAATCCAATGGAGATAGACCTGGAGCCACTATATTATATGTTACATTTTCCTAGTTATCACAGAGAAGAAGTAAAAGAAACAGGTGAAATGAATTTTAATATATTTTAACCAATATATACAAAAGGTTATCATTTCAACATGTAATCAGCATAAAAATTAGTAAGGAGCTATTTTACATTGTTTCTTTCTTAATTCTGTATTAAATCTTCGAAGTCTCTTGTGGTTAACTCCTATAGAAGCACATCGCAATTCCAGCTAGCCCCATTTCAGTTGCTCAGTAGCAAGGTCGAGAGGGTAGCTGCAGTCCTGGACAGGGCAGGGCCAGGTGCGCCCCAAGGACGCTACCACAGTCTCCCCGGGAGCTTCCTTCAGGGGCCCTGGGATTGGTGAGCTGGGCCACTGGCCTTTCAAATGCAGTCCTTGGAGATTCCCTGCCCACGCGAGCCTACTCAGCTCCTCCCCAGCCCTGGCGTGACTCATGCTGGCCGCG